TGCGTCGATCGTCAACGATAATGCGCGAGAAGAACTGTACCGTGACACACACGCTCCGACAGCGGCAATCCCGATCCGCTGTGGGTATACGAGCGTGTACCGTTATTTCGGCTTCGAGGTTTTGTAACCGAGTGACCCAGACCCGAGGAGAACGCGCGCGCACCAGGGACTCGCCGGCGCATCCCGCGTTATTACGCAGAAACCGTCGACCGGTTTTTCACGCGGTTTTTCTTGCCCGCCATCGATCGCCGAAGATTCCTCGCGAAACTGGTTCCTAATTACCGCTTCTGTAGCAGCGATTGCTGCTACTTCAGCAGTTGCAAACCACTTTGAGCGATTTAGCGACAAATACCGATTTAGCGACAAATACCGATTTAGCGACAAATTTGTCTACATGACCTTCCGAGTTATCTCGTTGCGCAATTCTAATTAAGTAATTAATCTTCCCACAACTAAGGTTCCAAGAATTCCGACGAAGCTGCATATAACTTGTTTTATGTGTGATATTATTATTTATCAGAAATTGCGTGGAAATTTTTCTGATCTTTTCCGATAAGACTATTTTTTTTATCAACTTTGATATAGTACGAGATTTTTGAATAGTCTAGTATTATTTTAGGTTTCTCAGTGAAACAAATTTCTTAACATATGTATGTGCTCTTGACAATATAAAATTTAACAATATTACAGAAAGATGACTTTGTTTTAAAAAGCTTTCCCTTGCTTTAAAAACGCTACTGCAACAGGTCATTATCTTCTTACAATCAACTTCGCTCCTAAAACCGCTACCTCGGAGTGAGAGTCGCGGTCAATGTCAATGTGAGTTGCTATTGTATTAATGCATTAATGTGCAGTGAAAATACGTAATATTAACTAGTATACTTAAGAATTGAAAGACTAATCCGCTAATATATGGAGATTTTGTGAAATATCATATGAAGAGTTGTGAGAAATAATCTCCCCTGACTCGATTTAAAAGGTGGTATACAATTGAAATGAAATTTACACGATCGCTATGTGAAATGCAGCCTCGCGTGCAATACTCGTACATGGTCGATCGTGATGCGATATAATGGGGAAAATAATTAAAATCGGAGTGAAAGAAAAAGAAAGAAAAGGAAGAAATCTCATAGTCGGCACTATGCCCGAAGTGGAACGGACATCGAGCTACTCGCGAGGTGAAAATAATCGTCATCTAGGAGTCGAAATAAAAACTTCGCAGGACAATTGAAGAGCCGCGATCTCGATCACGCGCAAAAATTCAATCACCCGACGATATCACAGATATATATTCATATATTGAAATTTTCATTTCTTTTGTATCATACGACCGTATTACTTTTAGAAACGGTTTCAAAACTTTAGAATGAAAACTACATTTAACTAGATATGGTTGCCGCAACATAATATTAATGTTATTTTTCGCTTATGCATAGACAAATGTTCGTACAATCATAATGTTAAGGGAGAGACTTGTGCTATCTCAGCGAGAATATCCGCTAAATGGATATCGTAATTATAGGAAAATGATAATACATCTGCAGGAATTCGGAAATGCATCTTTATTGAACATGATAAAATATGTTTTAGTGTTAGAAACAAAATTAATTTTTCAGTCTTTTTCCTTTGCCAATACAATGAGCTGTTTGAAATAATCATGCCAGTTGAAAAATTCATTTTCTCTTCAATTTTCTTGGAAGAAAGTACCGCAAGTGTGCGACCTAGAATATAACACGAATTCGTATTTTCATTCATTATGAATCTTTTCGATTTAACGAACACATCAGAGGCACTAGTGTGTATATTTAGACGTGAGTAAAATTTATTGCGAGCGAGGCAGTCGCGACAGCAGCTGAATCACTCGCGCCGAATTACTCGAACTCGAGCAAGAGTTTGCGCCCGAATTAAACTGTACGATTCTCTCAATTACAATGTATGTTCTGCAAATCATAATAAAAAGCAATATTTATATTTTTGGTTGAACAACTATATATGAAATATATATACTAATTGAATATTACGTATCATAAGAACAATGATGATGAGAACTGTAAAGAAAACTGTAATCAACAGCAATGAAAATAATAATGAATTATTGTTGCCAAATGGCACTTTTCATTTTTTATCGCGTTCATATTTTACAATTTTGATTGAGGCGCCGTCACAGAAGAAGATTGATCTTCGGTAGCCAGATGTCGAGTCAATCATTGGTTCATCTATGCGTTATGCGTTCTTTACATTTTTGCATTTGATGAAATTTTCCTTTGCAAGTTACTGCTACATTAAAAATGGCCCAAAATGGAACCGAAACGTTTGTTTGATACATTTTTATCAACCATATGGTTGCTTATTAATTTTGCGAATTTTCAACTAGCGCTTGCTCTTACAGGCCTCCCTATATTTCTTAATTGAGTATTGTTAATAAATTCGAGAAACGTCGCTGACAGCTTTCTTCGTGATTGTCGTCGACGCGGAATTCGGCCGCTAATTAAAACCGTTCGCACGCACGCACGCGCGCGTAGAAGCGCGGAATTATGTTCCGTTTCGTGAGAAATGCGATTCTCTCTCGAGAGCGCGTCTCGGATCAGAACATAATAACGGAGGCTTTCACTCCGAAGATGTCAGCCTCGCACGGAGTTAAAATTAACGCGAAACGCCTCCGGGAGAATCCGCAGAGAAAGATCCTCCCTCCCGTTTCTTTTATCCTCGGATTACCGATCATGCGTCCCGCGCGAGAGTGTCTCTCTTGTAAGTTTATTAAGATATCTCGGGTCATAACTCCACCTCGCAGGCAAAAAGTATTAAGTTCCAAATCATTCGCGCATTTTAGCACATTTATGACGTTGTAATCAGAGGAAAGCAAGCTCCACAAGTCACAAAGTAAAGCGAACGGTATTAGAAGTCGCTGTGATTTTATATGCAAATGACTTTTTAGAACGTAAGGTATTTAAACAAGCACCGAGAATCTATTTTATATGCAAGTTTCGGTCTAATTAAATTTATTCATGCTTATTTATCTTCGACGTTTATCTTGAATAATGAAGATATGAATGTTTGTTAATCCGCTCCCAAAGAAACGAGTTTCGGGAGACATATCAAGCAGTGTCATAATTCTTCTCTCGCAGAAGACAACCATCGTTGCATATATCTTAATTATTTAAAAAGTTTAAAAAATTAAACAACCGGACGATCATTATTGCGAAACAACCGCGATGATAACCTGTCTCGAAAATCCAAGGTGATCAACCACGATCGACCTTGAACGCACGACAGGAAATCGTACCGCGAGTCGTGCGACCTCGCACGCGTAATCGACGAGATTGTATCGCGTCTTCGAGAATTGCTCATAATGTCTAGAAGATAGACAAGAATGATGTCCCTCAACTGGAATAATAAGATAGCGCAAGCCGAGCGAAGCGTATTTTAAAAATAAATTCATAACTCGATTTTATCAGGGACGCGGCAGGCTAATAATTATTTCCGACAAATGCTAATTTTACATCAAATAAATTTCAGCAGAGATATTCTTCGTTAAAAGCAATAACGCTTCATAGAGCTGAAAACATATTTATAACTTCATCGAATCGATATATTTTTTTCTTATCTAACCGTAAAGGAACCTTCAGCTTTCTTTACATTTTTCATATATCAACTCTATAGTGACATATTATACCTGAAGGCTTTTTTTTCAACACGCGCTTAAACGAAAGCGCCTTTCTCATTTTCTTGATTCCCACGTGTCGACGTACCCTCGTTAATCGCAATTTTACGTATATTTTCAGCTAACAAATATCTTCAGTGGCATAAGATTTCGACACTGTGCGGACATGATAGATACGCCCGCGAACAAAGCATAACATATCTTATTATATCGAGATAATCGCAAAAAGCGGAACGACACGTGCGAAATCTAAAAAACCCGTTCGGACAAACGATTTCACCGCGTGATCATTACACCGCGAAGTATTGAGGAGAATCGAATATACGTAAAATTGCGATTAACGAGGGTACGTCGACACGTGGGAATCAAGAAAATGAGAAAGGCGTTTTCGTTTAAGCGCGTGTTGGAAAAAAATGCACAGAAAAGCGCATCGATAGCGGGGATTTTCTTGCGGAAAAAACTCTTGTGAAAAGGGGCGTTGAATTTCACGTCGCGATATGGCGCCTTCGGCGCGCATTTCGAGACATAAACTGTCTTTGGCGCGTTTCCACCGCACGACCCGATGGACTTTCCCCGCGGAGAAAAAGTTCGCCTTATGCGAGCGCATCAAGCGGATCTCCCGATCGAGGATACTTCGTATTACACCTTAACAGTGCATACAGTAGTGTCCCGCGGAAGTCGTGCGCTTTCTCGTACGCGGATTCGCACACCGAAGACAGAGTGTCGGTCTCTATGGAAATTTGGAAAAAATATGCCGCGTTGAAAAAATAATACAAAGACTGCGCAATAAGCAATCGCCGCCACGTTTCTAACGCCCGATTCCAGCTCTAACGCAAGTCGTGGAAGTCGTAGAACTCGCATAATGGAATTCGCGTGGGATCCTGTCCAAGGCTCCTACAACGACCGTCAGACTCGCTCGCGAAGTAACGCCCGAGCGAGAAGTCGTGTCTCTTTAATTCCGCATAAATAAGTGAATTTAGACAAGAAATTTAAAAGAGAAAAAAACATTCGCTTCGAAACTTGAAGCGATTTATAAGACAACTTTCTTCTTTTCTGGCAATATCATCATAAAATTATACAGATTATGGAGATTTCTTCGCGTAATGGTGAATATGGTATTTGTTCTCTCTTTCACATGTGAATGACTTAAATGATGACACTGACGAGTGCAGCGCATTCAGATGCATTTCTTTAGAGATCGAGCTAACGGTTCCTGACTGTTATTCAGATGACTGTCGTGAGTGCGACTCCCGTTTGCCTCTTCGAGCATGACCGATCATTTTGCTTACGGAGACATCGAGTCGACATGATCGAATCCGCGTCACGCTCTGAAAATTCGGCCAGTGATCGCGTCACGGACGAACGCGAAAAAGCGGATTGCCACCGCTGGAAGCTGTATCGAAGATGTCGAACGTATCTGCGAGCGTCATCAGGCTACCGCTACCAGCGAGGTGCAACTCTTTGCAGATTTAATCAAACGATCCCTCCCAAATTATCTTTGAGGGTAGAAAAGAGATTTATTTACTTATCATATTTGTTATACTATATACAGCATCTAAATTGATTGGGGATTCTACGGAATAATTTAGGAATCAGAGAGTCAAAGATAAGTGTCAGGGGCAATTGGCTTTATTAGTAGTTCGTTGAAAATGATAGCATACCTGAGTTCGTGAACGCTCTGTTAATTGTACGTTTAATAAAATCCAATTTTCTCGAGATTATCCCTGAACATTGAGGACTGCAAACGACTTCTAACAATCGCCAGGATGACTCGCTCGTAACGAGAGTCTAATGCATTTGCAAGGATGGGAATTCGCGTAGATAGTTTCGCGCAAATTACTAGTATAATAGACGGTTACGCGGACAATTCGATATTTTTATCGGTAAGATTCCATCAGCTCGCCTTCGCAACTAAGCGTCCGTAATTTTGCTGATTGCAGGACTAAAGTGCGGCCATCCGGCCGTGCCGATGAACGCCAAGGTGTCGTTATCTGACGAATCCTTGGCGACCGGTACTGTCGCAAAGTACACCTGCGATGCCGGCTACGAACTCTTTGGGTAAGTGCAATAATATATTACAATAATCATCTCTGAGCAAAAAGAGAGAAAGTAATAATGTAAATAGAAATGTAAATTTGTAAAATATTTATAATATTAAAAAGTTAACATTTATATAGTTCTCTTTAAAATATTTCTTTCTTTCTTTCTTTGGAAATTATTATAATAATAAGAAAGCAATCATAATCTTTCGTGAATTGTATAAAATAGTTTTAAATTATCAACTCATAACTATGATAGAAAATCTCTCGTTAACTTTTTATATTAATATATCTAACATATTCTTATGTAGAAGTCTTTAAGGTTCATTAATCGTTTGGATGTCTTTATATATTCAAGACAAAAGCTCGTAAAATACGTTTATTGAAAGGTAATTATAGCAACATCAATTGTTTTTACTACTGTGACGGGTCGGCGACTTCTCGTCACGGAATATTCATGGTGAATGACGCGATTTTGCGGGGCTACGCCCATCGCGCGATATCCGCAAGGATAAGCAATATTGCTTTCCCGGAAAGAATCTCGATCGACAGGCATGCCGTTCTCCTCGTCGCGGCGGGTGAATTAGAAAGAGTGCCGGTAAGATGAGCTCGAAGAAGTAGGCGTACTCAAAAAAAATGATACTGTTCAGATATAGACAGAGATCCTTTTAAGTAAAGTTCGATAATTTCTTTCAAGTGACGAACTTTCAGATAATAATTTATTCGCTTATCGTAGCTGTTATTTGTAAAAATATTCGAATATATTCGATATATTTTAATTTATGAAATTGAGTTGATAAATAAATGATCACAGTAGAAAAAATTAAAAAGATTTTACTTTACCGATATATTCGCCATTTACAGAAAAACACTTTGATATGTTGTTGAAGTGTGTTTTTTAAACGGCACGATTAAAATCGTCTAACTTGACATAGTTAAGAGTTCCCGCCTTCAATTACTCCCGGCTAGTTTGAGAATACACCTGGATCATGACGTTTCGAGTAGTGTGTCGTATATCTCACCGCGGTACCGTTACAAACTGTACATGTTAATTAACGCTTCATTTCTTAGGTATAACGACGCCGGGCTGCCGGGCCAAATGTCATCGTCGATTTTTAAAGCTCCCTGTCTCATTGAATTCCAGCATACACCTTTAAATTAAAATAATAATGTGCTTTTTTAATTTTCAGCCGGTTTATAATTCACTCATCACTTATGGCGCTTAACTTCGTAACGGCGAATATCGATAAACCAATATATTTCGCCATAATGATATCTCACCGGATATATTATAGATACACAAATGATTTTCAAGGTGTAGTAAAATTTCGAAAAATTGAAGTTAACAAGACCGAGATATGACGAAATGTAAGTCGTAACAGTATCATTATCGAATGCCGCGGAAATTCTCGCGGATTGATAATTGCAAGCGGACTTATATTTCACTTCAATTGATTAATCGTTCCTTTATAATTCCAATTTAGATAATATAATCTTCAATTATCCTTTAAAATTGCGCCAAGTCTGTGGATCTAACGAACATAGAATTTCCGTCTTTCGATTTTTCTATGAAAAAGACTGCAAATTCGTCGAGTAGCGTACGACGAGACGAGGGAGAAACCGCTTGGCAGATAATAACTGTCAATCAAGTACTCGACATCCGCAAGACCTGCACGAGATGCATTTGTCAATCGCGTGGTAACGAGGCTTTTGTCACGAAAAGAAAAAGAAGGAGAGAGAGAAAACGCAGGGACAAACTTAATTTCCTACCGATATGTAAGCACATGACTGGGAATTGGCGACAGTGTTACGCGCGATCGGAATATATTTTAATTTTCTATTTCTGTCCTCTCTCAATACACGCAATGCGACGCGGTGTTCCAGGCGAGCGGAATGCACGCTGCTCGAGAATAGTGATTGTCGATAATGCGGTACACCGCTAACTTTCTCCGTTTGTGCGCTTTTCCAACGACGGTGTTTGAGAAAAGTCACGAGAAAGAGAGAGAGAGAGAGAGAGAGGAACAAAGAATACGTGATGTGCAAGGAATCCCGTTCGTGTCGCATTCCTCAGCTAGAAACTGGAAATGGCCGTTTACGACAAAAAAGAAAAAAAAAACAAAAAAGAACAAAAAAGAAAAGTCTGCTACTTCTTCGCCCACCCCGCGAACAATCTTCTCGCAACGTGTCGAATTATAAACAGAATTAAAACTTAAATTCGGTCGTCAGGGTTAAACGAAATTAATGGAACGAAGTTTTAAGCACATCGCACGCGATGGCGCGTGACGCTAATACGCGTCCTGCAAATAATTGCGTCGACCGAGTAATTACACGGGTGAGCGCGTAATCATAGTGTTGCCGGAATTTTTTTTCTTTCGAAAGCGCGTAAGCGTGCGTTGTTTCTTCACGGGTCTACGTTGAAATCTATAAAGGTCCTTCATAATTACTTGAGCTGCGGCGTAAAATTTTAATGGATAAAATTTTCCCATCAAACTGATCTCTTTTCTCTCGAAAGCCCAGAGGGACGCAAGTGAGTCACTCGTGCATACCTTTGCGCCTCCTTCTCCTCCCTGCTCGTAATTCCGCGTTATACGCGGAAACCTGTAACATGTCTCGCTTCAACGATCCGTCAAGGGTTTCTGTGGCATAACATGAAATATAACGACTTGTTATCAGCCACTTTGCACAATATTCACGTCGAGAGAGTGACATCGGTTGCTGTTTTCGATGATATACATTCGGTATTCATCTGACTGTTACTTTCTTCCAGGACCGGCAGCCTGACGTGCAACGCCAGAGGAAAATGGCAGGGTGACCTACCGTTTTGCGGTGAGTATTCACTCTCTCGAAATCCCGTATCGACAAAAATTGGAAAGAAGAATGACGACAGAAAAATTACGTCGGCTAGATTATCTCTTTCCTCGGTCGACGAGAATTTTTGAGATATGAGACATGTTTAATAATTTGTTCGCCGTTTCAACGCGCAGGTCCCAGAACTTTGGCATTTCAGAGTCGCTTTCGATAAATAATTTATCAACGTTCGAATGAGCATACGCGATTAGTGATAGCGAAAGTACATTAATATTCTTAAATCGTACTCTTAAAGTATATTCTCGAAGACTGCAATATGTAGTTTAAGTCATGAAAGCCACGATACAAAACTAATGCAAATAATAAGACTAGTTAAATTGCTTCCTGGAAAAAGAGTAGAAACATATTATCTAAAACGAAATATATATTAACGCATATAATTAAATACGACGGTGTAATTCTCAGAACATGTTCCAGTTTAACTGCTACGCAATAACTGGAACTTCTCGCCTAACTTTGAAAAATGAGGAAATAATTAATTTATTTAAATGGCAGCATAATCATCGCAGGCAATCTTGTGTCGATGAACATGATTAATAAACATACGATAATTAGATTGATATTGTCTCGTCGGCATCGATCAACTTTTAATGCCCGCAATTTATAACGTCCGTTTTAATTATACATCCTTATAATTCACCCGGCGTATATTCGCATCCGTTTTCCATCAAGTAACGATGGCATTCAACTTTCTCCGTCGGACGAAATCCGGCGGTTCGTTTTCGTGATACGACTGGAAGACGCGAACGCGAGAGGTCGTCGAACGAGAATCGCATTTTCGTCGGAGGACACCAAAGTGCCTGCCTTAAAATGCCAATCAAGCCACTTTCCCTCGCTTTATATAGAGTGTCCCGAAATTATCGCCTATCCTTTCCAATATAGACAACGTAAAACAGATTTACGACAATCCACGGTAGTGGATTTTATTACGATGGAATATTTTTTTTAATTTGTGCGATACCGAAGCTTAAACAATTTTTTATTGTTAAACAAAAGTGCGGGCCGATAAATCAAAGAATTCATAAGTAACGAAATAACGGTAAGAATTATGCGACATCTCGTGAAAAGTGCACGCTCGTTCGCAATGCGTGAAATTTCGACAGTGAGCGTTATAAAACGAATAATACCTGATTCGCGACGATCGATTTTTGTAAATTGCCACGTTATTGTGCGATTACGGTAAAAAGACCGTTCCGGTTTCCACGAGACTTTCCCTGAGATATGTAAAAAGTTGCCTGACTCGGGACAATAAGAAAATAAATAATTGTCATTGTTCAACGGTAGCGGAACGATCCGCGCCATTTCCGTGGAATAACGGCAGCGAGTCGTAGCAAATCGTGACGAGAATTGCTCTCGGGGACGGAATATACAATGAAGAAGAAATATCCGCGTCGATATACGATGCGGAGAAACAACAACGACGGTGACATGCCATTGTCGGGCGACAACTAATCATCGGCGATAATTAACGTTATTGTCAAATGCATCCTGCCATTGAACTGGCTTTGTTACTTAATCATCGATAATTAAAGACCGGCTAAATCGCGATTAGTAAGCGACGACAAGCGGCGCTTTGTTAATTCGTCAAAAATAGCCGACTAACGTAATAATTAAATGCTATGAGAAATTAATAGAAATGAAATGAACATCAACAGCTTAAACAATAAAGTTGTTAACATGCCGTCTTAATCGAAAGGAGAAAAGTGAAATTTCTGCAAGAATGTAAATCTCGAAGAAATATCCAGATTTTATTAACATGTTTGTAACTTTCTTTCTGACATAACTGCAACAGAACAAATATTACGACAGGTACGAACGTCGGTTTCCGAAAACCAGCGAATCAGTCGACTACCGTGAGGGGTGGGAACGCATATCATGGCAACGACGGTGACTTCAGCACGGAGCACGACGGGAAAAGATGCACAGAAACCCAGAGTGAGCCGAGTCCCTGGTGGAGGGTCGATCTACTCAAGCCGTACTCCGTTAAGATCGTCCGAGTGACGACACGAGGCTGCTGCGGTAAACTTCCGTGTCATAGAGAGCATTATTACATTCACAGTCGAGACTTAAAATGAATATGAGATTGTAATTCACAACTGTTCATTTGCCTTATTTCTCAGGTTTGTTTCAACTCGTTTTGCATCCGGCAATCCGGAATTTTAGCATTTATTTAAACGTTCACATCCATGCAAATCTTAAGCATGTTTTATGTATTCTACTAAGAGATATTTTTCCAAGAAAGAAAACAGATAAATCTGTCCAATTTAAAGACAAACTTGAAGAAAGATGGCTTAACGTAAGGTAACTCCGAACTTCGGAGAATACCATCTCTTAGTTGGTTTTCGCACCGTACAACCGTAAGCCCGTTTTAAGGCTGACTGTGACTGCGGTTAGCCAGTGGAATGACTTATCGATTGCTATGGCAGGTCATCAGCCTCTTCAGGATATCGAGATAAGAGTGGGCAACAGCAGCGCTGAATTACAGCGCAATCCACTGTGCGCTTGGTTCCCCGGCACTATCGGTAAGTGCTACAAAACGATCGCGAAGCGTTAACGAGGAAACGTTCAGAAATAGCAGCCTGGATATCTGTATAATTAGAACTCTCTCGTGCGAAAAACTCTTTGGTATTCGATACCGGTCGGATTTCGAAAGAAAATTTACACATTAGAGCAAAAGAAATATCTGCTATTTACTTCGAATTATTACGCACAACATGGAAGCGCGCTAGTTCTGAATGTTTCTTGAAAAATTACGATGAATCTATCAAGACTGTTGACGAATCGAACTCGCAGAGGAGGGTATCACGAAGACCTTCGTCTGTGCCAGAGCACTGGTGGGCCAGTACGTGTTTCTGCAGCTCGTCGGCGTCGAGGGTAGCCTAAGCCTCTGCGAAGTGGAGGTCTTCGCTACGGATGGTAAGCTCACAGATCTCCCGTTTAGAAGAAAAAGATAAATTTCGTATTCGACTCTCATCTAACGAGAAGTAAACGAGTGATTTTGCGTGTGAAATGAACGTAATATTTCTACAACGAACTATTTAACACAGAGGAAGGTAATAGAAACTCGAAAGATCGCGAAATCGTTTCGAAACTTCTTTCAACGACTACAATTGCGAAACAATCGTGCGTCTCGAAATATCGTTCCCTGTGATAAATATTGCCGAATGTTCGCAGAATTCTCGATAGACAGGTGCGCGCACGCCGGCACGCCCGCCGAAGCCGACTTGACAGCTTTCAACTCCACGTGTTACGAATTCGTGGTGAAGAAAGGCGGATCGTTTCAAGATGCGAGGAACTACTGCAGAGAACGCGGAGGCGACCTCGTTCACGGTTTCAAGGTTCTTACAATTTATCTCGGAACGTAATTTCGAAAAACGACGATACACACGAATAAAAGAAAACGTCGATAAATCCACGGAAAGAATCTTTAATTATGTCAAATCTATCGAAAAGATGGATCTTTTATTTTTCATTCTCACAAAAGCTAACAAGTTTAACGAAAAATCTTAATATCGCAGGGCATATCGTCTACATTCATTTTGAACAACCTGGAGAGGCGGAAGGATAAATTGAAGACCCAGTTGGTCTGGATCGGAGCCCAAAAGGAGCCGCAAATCACCGCGCGAACGTGGCGATGGGTGGACGGTAAGTCAATGGACGGCAACGGTTGGCGAAATTTCGGCGAGCCGGGCGAATTTTTCCCATTGTTAATGGCGAGACAGAGCGATCGTCCGTGGGAATCGTGCCGCCACGAGGGCGGAGTTGGGTAACTCAGGGTGAGATTCGGTGATTCGATTGTCGTTTCACGCGGCAATTATCCGACAATTACAGGACAGTCGGAAGGGTAATTTTGCAAATCCGTAACGAGGAGCTCCGGTCGAGAGGAGGACGACGGTCACGTTCCGCGCGCGCGCACGCGCGCGCGTTGAACTAATCGGGTATCGTGTAATCATCAGAACAAATCGTATCGTGTCGAATCGTTACGAGACTGCAGCCGAAGCATCGCGGTGATAAATAGAACGTGAAAGTTATAACCGTGTCGAAATCGGCAGGAAATTACATCTGCCGACGTGCGGTCGATGTCAATTAATAATTATTTTTACTGACACGATATCATCCATCACCGGCGCGGCGGGACATATGATCGATAATACTCATTGATAACTCGACAAAACAAATTGACGACGATCGTTGGAGACGATTTATAAAAATATGACAATTTACTTGTGAGAAATGTTAAATTTGCGGCAGTTTTGAAGTTAGTCGCGATATTAAATCAGACGATAAATTCAATTATTATGTAACAGAGCTTGAAGCTTCTGCATAATATATTCGGAAGAAAACATTGTACTATATAAAACTATTACAATTACGCGGATAGAAAAAAGAGAATTCTAACAGATCCTTCGTAACGTGAGAATAATAACTGAGGAACCGGAGTGAACGCGTACGCCGGAGAATTAATAAGAATATTAAAATAAAACAGGTCGACATTTCAGGCGAGATCGTGCAAAGGCCATCTTGGGGCAAGGACCAACCGAACAACTACAACGGCGAGCAAAACTGCGTTGTGCTGGACGGAGGTCGCGGTTGGCTTTGGAATGACGTCGGCTGCAATCTCGACTACCTTCACTGGATCTGCCAGAGCAGTAAGCGCCGGGAATTTTGTTTTCGAAACGGCAAAAAATCCGGCTCGGTTATACTGATGAAATAAAACAAAAAAGAAGAAAAAAGAAAACGAATCTCGCGCTAAACGTCTCTCGTAAAAATACGGTCATAAAAGCTCGCCGAATTGTTCGCAGGACCGCCGACTTGCGGCAGCCCCGAGAAATCGGAGAACACCACTATCGTGGGAAACAAAAGGTTAATAGGTTCCACGATAGAGTACGTCTGTCCGGATGATTACATGCTGATCGGATCGAAGAGCAGAATATGCGGACCGAGCGGTTTCTGGAGCGGCGACGTGCCCACGTGCAAATGTAACTGCGATTTGTCGATTTTTTAAGAAAGTCAACATATTTCACATTATTGTTTGGCTCCAAGGCAGTTACATTTGTCACTTATATGCGACAAGTAACGTGACAGCCTTATTCTCATGCTAATATCTACCCAAGTCATCACGCACCGAGAATCAGAGAGAGTTAGATAGATTGATAGATAAATAAATAGATAGAGAAAGTGAAACTTAAATATTGAATATAACGATCTATTCTCTTGGCCTATTCCGTAAAACACCAGTATATGATATTCACGCGCGATACGATAACTCAAAGATTGCATTGAATTATAAGAATCTTCTCGTGGTTTTCACAGAGCCTAACTATGGTAATTTAATTTCAACAATGAATTGTATTCGCGCGATTTGAAGATATCCTACACAAATGTTATCGCGGCAATTAAGCGAAAAAGATTTCCGAAGAATGAAAGGAAAAATATAAGGCTTCTTTTAAATTGCATAGTTTCGAGGATCAGACCGCTTTAACTCACGGTATACACGCGGCGCGAATACAAAGTGGATTCGTCACGCGTGACCTCCGTCATCCTCCGAATATTTTTACAGTTGTTGATTGCGGCGCGCTACCGGATCTGGAAAGCGGCGCTATCACGCTGTTGGAAGGTAGGACTACGCACGGTGCTCTCGCGGATTATGCTTGCAAAGAAAACTACACGCTGGTAGGCGACACAAGACGAAGATGCGGCGACGGCGGCATCTGGAGCGGACATCAGCCGCAATGCTTGTGTAAGCAAAGTACATGTTTTGCATTTGAATGGCGAGTGACTCTAGATGCTTTCGCATATTATTATAAATGTTCAATTTAAACGTTCGCAAGTTGAACATTTAGATAATATCTAAAAGCGAACAATCTCCCGCGCAACATACGGATATTTTGAAATGTTTTGATACTAATAAATGTCTAAATATGAATAAATTCGATACGTAAGTAAATTTCATCGTAAATAAAAATGGCGAAATTAATTAGGCTGAATGTTATTACAAATTAGATCAACAGTTGATTGTTATTAAACCTTTTTCCGTTTGTTTCCGCATAATATATGCATACACAATAGTCTTCCATTAGATATAAAACCCCACGTATTAGTACCAATTAGGAAATAATTAGGAAATTTCACGCAGCATACTGCGATTAAGCGAGAAATCGTGTATCTAACGTATCGTATGTCGTGCCGCCTACTGATGCGATTACACGGCTAATTATTTTTCAGTCGATTGGTGTCCCGAGCCACCGGAAGTAAATGGTGGCGTCGTGACGACTACCGGAAGAAGAACAGGCTCCACTGCCACTTACTCTTGTCAGAACGGATTTATTTTGTTCGGGGATAATGTAAGTTTGTGATCTTTAATTTACAACTGTAATTCTTAACATTACCATTCACACAATTATCCTTCTTTTGTTTTGTCTCGCATTTCTGTAAATTAATCACTAAGACTTCGTTAATTATTCACTGATTCGTAACTGTTCATCAATTGATAATCAAGGTCCTCACCTGCGATATCGGTGGTGAATGGTCCGGCAAGGCGCCGCAATGTCGATTCGTTGATTGTGGAACTCCGGCCCAAATCGAATTCGGCACCATCGTTCTAATCAACGGCACGACTACGGTGGGCAGCCTGGCTGTCTACACCTGTCAAGAGGATCATTGGTTGGTCGGCGAAGGGAAGCAAGCGTGCACCAAGGAGGGCAAGTGGAGTCACGGCACACCGTCGTGCGAACGTAAGGATAATTTTATTGAAGATATTGCGTGAAAATTTGCCAAGAAAAACGAACAGAAATTTTTGCTATGCAAAACGTAGAAATTAAAGATCATCGCCTTATCTATCAAAAATTTCACGTAAAAAAATTATTCATAGACCAAAATAAATGTTTCGTAATGCGAGAGATAATTTAAGGTGTTCGTGGCTTTCGTAATTTAAAATTTGATACGGGAAACGATTCGTTTTTTTACAGTAATTACGTGTGAGGAACCTGAAGTACCCACAGGAGGCTACGTAGTAGGGTATGATCTGAACGTACATAGTGCTATTGAATATCACTGTGATGTGGGCTACTTGCTTCATGGCGAAGCAAGGCATTCTTGCGGTAAAGACGGAGAGTGGACAGGAGAGGTGCCGAGCTGCGAGTGTGAGTCACGTTATATCTCTTTTCCATCGAAACTAGCTAGAAGTGACATAATCGCGTTGGATTATGAAAGGAGTGATTTAGTCGATCAAGGTCATATCCGTCACAGACTTTTATTCCGAGCGAAATTTCCTTCAAAGCAATTCTTGTTGAAGTTGAATTCAAAACTCGGGAAGATCATATTTTGAAAATTATCAATTATGTTTTTTTTCCAAATTTACTTCTATGTACACATCTCTTGAACAATATATATATATATAAGAGCTTTCTTCGGCTTAATTACATACGATTCGATGATGCTAATTACTTCTAAGATTGTATTGAGTAGAATAATTACATACAGACGTTGACTGCGGCAAGGTTCTTCCGGTTCCAAACGGCGCTGCGGAATACGCGAACGGAACGACTCATCTCGGCAGCGAAATCACATACAGTTGTACGAGAAATTACCGACTAAACGGTGTAATCAGGAGATATTGCCTGGACAACGGTCAATGGAGCGACGCGACCCCGAAATGCGAAGGTAATTGCCTCGGAAGAGATCGTTAAATGGAACAAATTGAACAAACTTAAATATTTTTAGAAATTATATTAGCAGATAGAATTTTTAGATTCCCGTTTAAGACAAGATATTCGTAAAATATGTGGCCGAATTTGTATAATATAATTTCAGAATTGGTTTAATGTATGATGCGTCTTTAGATATAGATTTTCAGAAAATTCTTTGAACTATTCGCATACTATTCTGTACACGGTGTGAAATTTGCTTTCTCTTAAATATGTGGATTATTTTATACTTATAGGACGCGTTATTGTTATATTTGCATCTTTTATTTCAGAGATTCGTTGTCCGGAACCCGTGTTAGCGGAACACGGGATTCTTTCGGTGACAGGAAACGATCGGATGTACGGAAGGACGCTGATTCGCACTGGGACCGCGGAGAATTCAAATACAGGCGCGACTTCATACAAAATTGGAGCCCTAGCGAAATATAGGTGCGAGAGAGGATACAAGGTAGTTGGAGAGCCTCTGTCCACCTGTGAGGAGAATGGAAAATGGAGCGGCGAAGTTCCGCAATGTGTCTGTAAGCCTGCAAGGATTATCGAATCCTGATGAAATCATATCCTAATGAGCCGATTGTGCGTTAAATTGTATAAAAATAATAAACGACTGACTACTTCAAAAAGTTTGATCTTGTTTTGTCGAACAATTAATAAATATTTCGTTAAAAGTAGTGCTATGAAATATTATGGAAAAAAATTTCTGCACGATTGAAATATCGGTCTGTACATTGTTTTAACGTTAAAACTATAAAAAATTAATGTCAAAAATATGATCGAAATATTCTTTTGGCAGATGTCGATTGTGGCAAGCCCGAGCACATTCAACATGGACATTACACGTTAACATCGAACGCGACGTATTACGGAGCAGCTGCACTTTACGAGTGCGATGGCAATTTCGAACTAGACGGCTTTGCCAGAAGACTGTGTCTCGAAAACGGCACTTGGAGCAGTGACACTCCGGTTTGTCGAGGTAATTATACAGCGATATTTTTCTTCAACACACAATAGACATTAAGCAATAGGATTAAAGTGGTATAATTATAGATGTTAAATTATGTAAAGATTAACCACAACGTGCAATTTTCGCTAGAAATTCGATGCAGAGATCCGGAGAAAATCGGTGTATTATCGACACAAGTATCGACTCATAGCGTAGGCGGGGTAGCGCACTACAGCTGTCCACGTGGATTTTACATGGAAGGGAACGAGACAAGGATCTGTTTGCAAAATGGATCCTGGAGTGGTACAACACCTGCTTGCTTCTGTAAGGACCTTCTTGATCAACAATATTATTTTCCGTCTTTAACATTAAAAATCTATCTTAACTAAAATCTTCGATTTATGTTTGAGAAATATTATTCGACTCTTTCGTACAGACCGCATTTAAATTAAATTACGATCGATAATACAACGATATTTACTAATTATAGATCAAATAATTTATTGAAAATATCTTTTCTACTAATAAACGTGATCGGAACGGCTTAAGATTCAATTGTGATGGCTTTTCAGCGGTCGATTGCAAGCATCCCGGATCGATAGAGAACGGTAGAGTGATAGTAGTGAACGGATCGACGACTTACGGAGGAGCCGCGGAGTATCATTGTCTACCACAGTACGAGAGGGTCGGCATTTTCCTGAGGAAATGCCAGGACACGGGATTCTGGAGCGGCGAAGAGCCAAAATGCGAACGTAAATAAACTGCAGATAATTTCTATTCTTTAGAAATATATTAAATATCTAACATTTAACATATTGTATCCTAATTGCAAGGCATCTAAAAATTCCATCAACTGACTTTCCTAGTTTTCTCGAGGTATTCGAAAAATCTTTCGTTAAATATTTCAGCCAACAAACAGCCCGAAATAATATCGCGAGTTTGTTTTAATATCCTGATGACGTATGTGCCCGGGAACAATTAGAAACGTAACAAAAATACCCGACATAATATCGATATATGTTATTCATGTCTCAGTGGCAGCAAACGAAGTTGCAGAGGCTCAAGGTGTCGGCACCAGTGTTGGCATCGGAGCTGGCGTCATCATATTTATATTAATCATCCTCGGACTAATCTATCTCAGGCTGTGAGTATCATGTTTTGCGAAGGGAGTATATTTCTCTTGAAAATAATTCGAAATCATTAACATTTTAAAATAATCGCACAGAAAGCTTGCGGATATATTCTTTAATTTTGACTCAGAGATCTTAACCAATAATATGCGTTAATGTTTACAGACGAAAAGCTACGCCGGTGAAAAATACCGAGAACGTTCAGGCGGCGGAGAGAAAGGAAGACCAAAATGCCGCAGTTATGTCTTACGCGACACTGAATGACGGCACGCACAATACCATGTACGAGAACGTCCCTGAGGATGGTCTCTATGATAATCCCTACAGTTTAGGTGGTAACGCGTACAGGTAAATTAAAATGCATCTTAGATAACTGTAATTTAAGGCAAACTATGCACACTATTTTCTAATATTCTTTTATTATTATCATAAATATTTAAAAAATTAGTAAATTTTCGATAAAATTATTTCTTCGAACTAAAAGCGCGAATATTACGAGTAAAAATATGTGTATCGAAGTAATTTGGTTTTTTACTTACACACCGCGACTCTCTTTCCGGTCTAATTGTTAAATTAATAGAACTGATATAATAATTTTGTATAACTGGATACATCCGCAACAGGTATGGAGGCCATCCGAGAAGAATGTACGGCAGATCTGGGCACTACGAGGCCGAACCGGTTTCCAACAGGAACGGGATCACTATCAACGGAGTGTCTGTGCGATAGCTCGAAATTCCATTCGACCTCGTCAGGAATCGAGCGATCGGAGGTGATTGTCGTCGACCTCGAGAGATTTGTCGTGCGATTCCCGACGTTCTCGAGATGGCGCTCCGTGTACAGAAAAAAACGCCGAAGAACTTGTTGTCGTTATTTATGTTACCGCACATCGAGGGTGGTGACGATTTATGTAAATAATTCGCGTAGGAGCGGAGAAACCACGGACTCGCGCGTCGTGACGTCCGAAAGAGTTGCACACTGAAGATGATCGTCCTCTCGACGAGATTTCATCTCCGAGGATCAACTACGTGTACGATTCTGTATATACGGTGTATCGATCGTTTAGTTTCATTACTCGTAGCCTTTAAGCGAAACGTTGTAACATAAGTTTACGAACAATCGTGCGAATAAAGAGACCAATGCTCTTGTTTTACCTTATACCATTGCATCGCGTTGTCTCGCTCTGTCCTCATAGAATACCAGAAATCAGGACTGCAAACTTGTGTTCTTACTTCCGTTAATTTAATATCATTTAAGTATAATTAAGTATTTTATATGTAATATATAAAATATTTGAGGAAAAAACGAGAATTAAAGATCTTTGATGACAATTCCTCGATGAACTTTGGAGTCGATCTCACCTTGGCAAAAATGTCGAAAGTTCGCTTACCGTTGCCGCCATTACGAAAGATTACAAAACGATTAGTCTCTTTCGTGTCCTTATATGGTTGTGAACCGGCGCAAAACACGTTAACCCAAGTATGGAAACGATTCTCGATTCAGGGCTGTGATCATTCGAAGTTCATATCCCAAAAATGTATAAACTGAATATACTCCGTTAATTATTACCATATAAATTATCACTAAAACAATATTTTTTCTTAAAAACCTATATAAAATTATAAAACTATTAATAATAGTAACGTAGTTATTTTGCAATCTTTCTTTCTATAAAATTTTTTCTTTTCAGAATTGTTTAAATCCGTTTGTAAGACACCATGAATTTAAATTCAAGAGCCACTGAATTTTCATAAGAAATATGAAATAAGATCATCCGTGATTATTAACGGCATAATAATTATAGTAGTTTCGACATTTTTGCAAATAAAAGTACGATTCCATAATTGTTCAAATAAACTATAATCGAATGAGAAGTCGGCCGTTCGCAAACACCTTATGCGCAAAAAATCAATGCACAATCCTGAAGTAGACTCTGGCCTGAATTTTTCATGCGCTTCGTGGTTCGCGCCTCCATCCTGCCATGGCCTCCAGCAGATGACACTAGTTGCCCGGGTGTGGTGAATGACCACAGAGTGACGCGTAACGTGACTCACAGTATACACCGTGTGGTTCAGCTTCGTTCTAGTTTCGAGCCTTCGTTTATTGGATCTCCGCGGTTATTCTGTTTCATCGGGTAAGTTCATGTTTCTAATTCCTGTTTATTTCGCGAATAACTATGTGGACGAAGCAATTCCTTCGTCAAAACTATATTTGAGCATGTGTAACCTCGATAGTTTAACAGCGAGTCATCTTCCCGAAGAGCCGCCATTGTCATTCAGTTATGGTTTGCACGTTTTGAGTCGTGTGCAATTCAAGAGGATATAAAACGAGTCTTGATGCAACCAAACGAGTCACGAAAATCAATAGCTAATAACGGAATGTTGCTTGTTTAGGTTATGTATTGTAGGAAAGTGCTAGAGAGAGCGATGCGAAACCGTGTATAAACAGGCGCAGTGCCGTAGATAATAGGCGATACAGTGAGGACGAGGAAAAGTAGGACGAATTTAAAGAGATGGGCAAACGCTCGTACGAGCGTATACATATTGCGATAAAATTTATAACTAATAATTCTCAAAGAAATTATATCCGTTTCAAATGAAATAGATACTTGTAAATATAAAAAACGAAGACTTAACATTACTTTATATAAGGGAATGACATTTCATAATACGCGTATGTGTATATATGTGGATATATTTTATATATAAAAATATATTTTTTACATATAAAATACATCTTAAGTTTAGTATAAAAATTATATAAAAGTTTTCACACGTAAAATAAATTTAAAAATCATGAATGATTTTCACCATCACTGAATGATTCATTTTATATACCAATGTGACAAAGACTTCTGGAATTTTGTGAGGCATGTTATTTAAAAATTTATTAACGTTCCAATCTATATAAACAACGTGAAATGCAACAATACCAAATGTTCTGAATGAGGAAAAAGTATATCTTTGAAGGTCTTATCTTGAAACTGAATAAGAATCTATATATAGTCGATAGGAAACTTAGCTCAAGATAGTGGTGACATGCTGTATATAAAACAGAAGGTCACTCGAACATAGGAAGAGAGTAATGACCCATTAGTCGCGCCATCATCCAAGTAGTATTATTTTTACCCTAATTTCGGCCACGTCGGTATATCCTGAATTGATTATCCGAAAATAAACACACATTGCGGTGGCGACTTGGCAACTCGAGCCGCGTCGTTATGTTCCTTTTAATTCGGAAAGAATGCATCTTTGTTTCGCTAAAATCTCACAGTGGATTTATAGACGAAAAATGACAAGTTTATTTCTTAAGCAAACAATCGACTGTTATGTGATGTATGATCTGCATAAAATGAAATTTATTATTGAAGCATCATTTCCCCTGAGATATATCAGATATAAAAATATATTAATCTAATCTCAAAACCGACAATATATCCTAAATTCGTCAATAAGTCGGTGACGATTTTCATTTCTAATATGTATAAAGTCGTGATAAAAAAAGATGACTTATGGTCTGTTTTTTTATAGCTGCACTGCTAAACTAGCGCAATAAGTTAGAGTGAAACAACTATATTTTATCTCGCTTTGATATATTGCACTAGTTCAGCAATGCAGCTATAAAAAATAGATTAATATGTATTAAAGAATTAGTAGTCATGAAAAGATGTCTATCGTTTGAATTCGTAAAAAGTGCAAAATTCTAATAAATATAGATAGCTTTAAAAACATAAATTTTAATTTTGTGTATACATAAAATTCAATGTATTAAAGCGCTGAATTATGATTAAGATTTATTTTTTATTTTAATAGGTTGCAAAGCTTCAGCATGTCTTCTCGTAAAACTGCCGGTCGCCGTGCAACCACGAAGAAACGTGCTCAACGTGCTACGTCCAACGTCTTCGCGATGTTCGACCAGGCACAGATCGCGGAATTCAAGGAGGCTTTCAACATGATCGATCAGAATCATGACGGATTTATTGATAAAGAGGATCTGCACGACATGCTAGCATCCCTGGGTGAATACTTTAGATACTTTAAAATTCTTTAGAAATCCAGAAAAAATTCATAGAAATATTTTCATGATCTACTAACATGAATATTAATGATTGTACGTTAAATTAATTTTATTATACGTTAAAATAATTTTTAATTTAAAATGAGATATGAACGTAAAATTTAAGCAAAAGCTGTTTTTTATAGGAAAGAATCCCACTGATGAGTATTTAGAAGCAATGATGAACGAAGCACCTGGACCTATCAATTTCACAATGTTCCTGACACTATTCGGAGAGAGATTGCAAGGGACTGACCCGGAAGACGTGATCAAAAATGCTTTTGGCTGTTTCGACGAGGAAAATACTGGTCACATAAACGAGGAACGTCTTCGTGAACTGCTCACAACAATGGGCGACAGGTAATTAATATATAAAAATTATGCTATAATTATAAATTAAAATTAAAATTATCGTATATTATTATATAAATTAAATGAGATTTATATAGACACATGTATCATATACATATATCAATATGTAAAAATATATAGAAATTAAATTCAACTTTTTAAATGAAGACTGCTTCACGAAAAAGAAGAGGAGAATAATTATTCTCGTCTATATAAATATACTATTATTATCAGTAATTATACAATTGACTAATAATAATCGGCCAATTGTACAATTATAGAAGATTTATCGTATAAAAATGAAGGAATTAAAGAAAGATTCCAAAAAACATTATCACGACCTATGCGAATATCACTGATTACATGCTGCTTTTGAATTTAAACAGAAATCATTAACTTGATAATGCAACACTGATTTCTTTATATCGTCAGATTCACGGACGATGACGTAGATGAAATGTATCGCGAAGCACCGATCAAAGGTTCTATGTTCGACTACCTGGAATTTACTCGAATTCTGAAGCACGGTGCGAAGGACAAGGATGAGCAGTAGTAAGCGAACACGGATTCATCTACAGGTCGCCTGCGTATCCAAAACACAAAATCGTAGATAACGTATGAAGTATTTCTCGCGCTCCTCGTACTTCTTTATTCAATTCTGATTTTTGTTCATCAAACATCTATATTAATAATCATTTCTATTTGAGTATTGATATAGAAATTCTAGCCTGGACTGCAGGACAACTTTGTCTGAACTATAAAGTGCATTAGAAGATTAAAAAAATTTTGATTTTGCATTTCGTTTGCTTTTGTGCTTCTATAAAAAGTAAAGCAGAAAAGTTGTTCGAATAAAAACAATCATAATGCATTTCGAAGCGCGAGGTGCGCATTTAATAAGATCTTTGCGTGATATTCGCCGTCAGCCGTAACAATTTTTTGGACGATTGCTGTACAGTCGGTGAAAATTACACGTGTAAAATATTTATATATATACATAAACCGAACATGTAACTGTTGTAGATTCAGCATTTATATTTTAATATAATATTCTATTGCGTACGAAATTAATTGTATCTGTTTTCTTATTTCTCTCATCCAAAAATTATATAATAACATATAAATTCAATTGTAGAGAACTACATTCTCTACGTAAAAAACACGTAGACTTTAGACTCTGAATGATTCTCTCATGAAAAATGGATTCTCTCGAATAATCATTTTAAGTTTGATAATGACAAAATTTTGCATGAAAGCATGTAATCATTTTTATATTCGTAAAAAAATTTGATAAAATTTCAGGAGGAATAAACACTCCATAAAAAAAACCCGAGGTAAGAGAAAACAAAAATAATGTTTATTGTTTTCTTCCTTGGGGAATATCAAGAGGCTAATAACTGGTTATTGCGGCGTGTAATCACGAGCAGTCACTTTTACGAGCGACAAACGCATGCCAAAGGCCCGACTGTATGGAAAGTCGGATATATAGTCGAAAGGTTCTGTCATTTTTTAATGACTTTCTCGCTGAGTTTATCGTCAATTTCGCACGAAATAAACTCTCGTACTAATAATATATCATTATTAACTACAGTGGAATCGTATATACGTGGCATCCTACTTTGTACGATTTCATAGAAATTTTCGTAATTATTCGAAAGCGTGGAAATTCGGACGCGCAAATTGATTCGATGGTTTCGTTTTGTTGCAGACTTGCAACAGGTTGTGCTAATAACGAAACGTCTTCCGTGTAATAACTGATATTTGACCTCGATTTCATCTTCAATCATTTCTTTGCGATAGGATTTATAAATGCAACAAGCGGATGCATATCTGATACAGACGCTGTATGGTTCTGAGTAACTAATAGTCGCTATTGAGTGAAATTTCACACAATCAGTTCTAATTAAGACAAAATTCATTTAAAAGAGAATCACCGATCGCTGCCGATAATCGCCTGCGAAGACCCATCTGCTCCGAAGATAACCCGTCGCTCTCAAGATGATTCGTTACCTCGAAGATAATCCATTTGTCGTGAATGATTCCTCAGATAATTCTACTGTTTCACTGATGCACTGATCATTCACGAAATTTTCCGGAACACGTACCGATTGAATACGCGACTAAGATTCGCCGTGTTATATTTTCGGTGTTGTTGAAATTTCACGAATATACGCGAATGCGACAAGACAGCGAGACTTCGCCGAACGTGAAAATATTTCGGCAACGCGTCCTTTGGTATCACCACACTGTACAGAATGCGAAAAACCTCATCGTCACTGTATTCCTCGACGTCCTCAGAATATCGCGAGCGAGTAAAAGCAGTTCTAAAGTCCGTTTTGTTCTGAAAACTTGATACCGCGTTTTCGACATTATCGAAGTGCTCCGCGGCATTCTTCCGAGTAACTACTTGGAGTGGTCTCGAACTCGGCGAGTTAACAATTAACGCGGTACCTTGCTGATATTATCGAAGCGTTTCATTTACACGGACACGATTTTAATAATTCAACGCTGTATTTCGCGATATTTACAAACGATTTAAACGGATTTCGCGCACACTACAACTAACCGGTTACCTCCCAACGTTTCCCGAAGCACTGTGCGAATCGCCTTCGATTATCGAAGTAACAGCGAGATATGCAACAAACTTCAGTGTCCTCTTGAAACCGATTATCGAATTTTTAAGGTTAAACGTGCTATATTACTATGATTCGTTTCGTGATATAACAAATCATCCTTCGACATCGTGTACTTTAATTTTCTGACTAGAAAGAGAACAAAAACCAAAAAAATATATTCTCGGAAATTTGAAACACGTCAACCGAGCCGACGATCGTCGAGTGTTACTACATATAGCTCTTCACCGAGTTTGTACAAAGTCGGATTATTCAGGCTCATTCTTTGAACAGTGTAGGATACCGCGTAGTATGTTCGGGAAGCGGAATATACTGAATATTTTACCGGGAATGTTTCGTGCATCCGTAAGAGACAACTCGAGCGTCCGTTGCCGTCGGTAGTTTCACTAACACAAACTCCATGCTGAGACTACGGAATATAAAAGTGTGATTCGTAAGTGCTTTTCACGTTTCGGTGTTTACATAATATAATGTAAACACAATGTTCGTAAGAATGCCGTAGTTATTATGACTTTCATGTTTTAAGATTACGGTACTGATTCAAGCGACTCTTTCACGTACAATAATAAACATGAAAATTTAACACGTCATTTGTTTCCGACGTCGTTCCAATTCCAATTTATTTCTCGCATTCAAACAAAGTTGAAAGACAGAGATTTACCGAGAATATTTCACAAGTAATTAAATGTCACTAAACTGCTTCGAGTGCATCGGTTTCAGGGAATATTATGTACTGTCGCGAATTTAGTAAACGTTTCACGTTTCGGGACGTAGAAAATAAATATTCGCGACGTTAAATTGTTGGAACGATGGAATATGGAATACCCGCAAATTATCCGTTGCAATCACGATGAAGTTCGTATGTATCACTACTCCTAAGTAGTACCTTGTGGATAATCACGACAATCGAGAATATTATTCGAATTAATATATGGACACAGAATTTCATCTTTCAAAAAGTACATTTGTATGCGATCGACCAGCTTCAAAACAATAAGCTATCGTAAAAATATACAACTTTGGTAATATGATTGTCGGATCTATTTCTGCGTAGTGATACACATCAGATGCGTGCTGCGTTCATTCCCGAAAGTGTCGTGGACGCGATCGCGAAGAGCTCTTTTCACGAAAGAATTTACACGAAATCGTACGAGACGATGACCTCTAAAAGCTCCGAAAGTCACTTGAATGCCAACGCGTACCGAATAACAAGCTCAGGAAAACTCGTAGATAAAATATTTTGCATAAACGGGCGACGAATGAACATCGACACGATCAACAAAGGCCGTTCGAGTAACTCGAGACTAAAGGTAAAGAGATGCTAATCAGTTACTGAGAGATAGTCGCGCGATAGTCTAGTCACGATATTCTTGATGTTCGCGATATTAGCACAGATCATCAACGATTCGTGACGAATCCGAAAATTAACGATATTAAACGTATCGATGTACATGCTTGAAATGCGATGTGTATCGGAAAAATTCTCCAAACTCCATCTTGAATTTGCATTATCGTTTTTCATCATCGTAAAGATGAAAACCGCAAAAAGATGTGCACTTTAAATTTCCAATAAAGAAACAGACGATAGAGCTAGTTTAATGTCGAAATATATCTTACCACAAATCTTGGGAGATCTATTCTTGCGATTCGCAATCGAAGCGAGATAGATATACATTCGAAATATAGAGAGGAAAAGAGAAGGAACGAGAAAACTTATCACGAAGTACAAGGAGAAAGAGAGAAAGTATAGCTCGAAAGTACAGTTCGTTTTTCTGCACATCTCTAGACCGTTGCTCCTTCTTTTCTTTGCTCACACTACCTCGAAGAAAACGCAACGAAATCGTAAACGAATCGTCACATATATTCCTCTCGTAGATCGTACGAAATACGTAAGCACGCGTGCAAAAAACCGCGGGCGGGCAGCGCAGGTATCCAGCGTATCTTATGGGCCGGAGGGGCGGAGCGGGCGGACGCATGCGCGGGCCGCATCTAGTCCACGCCGAGTGTACGGAGTCCTTTAGTCTCCTCTCCACCGTGCGCGTGATCGGATCGTCTGTATAGTCGGACAGGTACAGTCCCGTCCGCCCGGCCGCCCCCTCACCTTCGCGTTCGCTCGGTCCGGCTCGCCGCGGCGCTTCGTGTCGCTTCGTCGAACGGCCGCCCCCGCCTTCATCGCGCTCACTCCGCTCGTCCGTCCGGTAAATAGAGCGGGCCAGGCTACTTCGTGCTGTAACTGCGATTTAATCGTCGATCGAAGAGGCTGTGCGGGTGTCCCTCCCAGCGTCTCGCGAGTGCATCGCGCGACCGAGCGTCCCGACGAGCTCCGCCGTCGCTGCCGTCGTCGGAAACAGCCACGGGGCAACGATGAGGAACTGGGTTACGACGACGCCGCGCGAGCCACGACGTCCTGCGTCGAGGATACCGCATTCGATCTCCAGGACCGCTCGTTAGACCGCGCTCGGCACACAGCCGTGAAGTACGTCTCGTGAGTAGCACTGACGATTGTGGAAGTCGGATGACGCGTGATTTATGATATACTCGCGACGCCGTGCGAACGCCGCGCGCGTCATCGTTGTCGTCGTTTAAAGAGGGTGCGATATTACATCGTGACGTCTGACAAGTAGTCGTATTCGTTACTGAAACGATGTCCCGCATTGACGCCGCGTCGTTGGTCAAGCAACGTCCCGCGATGTTGCGTCCGGGCGCGAACGAATGCGCGTTCCGTCATTAAAGTAGCATCCTGAATCGGGGATTACGTCGCGACACCGTGCGGATGTTCGTGCCGTTATTGCGGAAACTCGGGACGGAGATTATTACATCGCAATACCATGCGGAAGTTATTGAAGTAATCATATCAACAGCGCGAATTACGTCACGACGCCGTGTAAACATTAAACGCCACCCGTCATTGACGTTTCCTGATTCGCAGCGGAATCGCGCGTTCCCGACATTCGCGAGGCTCTACACTCTGGCTTTACACGGGCCCTGAACAAATTCCGAATTGTGATTTCAAGGAGGCCGTATCCCGCGATCGCGTCGGTGCTGCTCGCCAATCTGGGGTGACCGCGTGTGCATCGGAATCCTGTCGTACACATTGTCCTGACCGAGGATTTTCTACGGGAACTTCTCACCAGTGCATCGGATGTGTGAGAAAGTGCAGCCGCAGTGGTACAGCGGATCGTAGAGGTTAGGCTAGGCCGACACCCACCGAGCGAGTCGATCAGCTGTTCCGCGGCGCCGACATCATCGTCGTTTCGGCAGGTACTTGTCCAGTTTTCCCTTTCCTCGGTGTCGCTCCAGCAGGTGCATCACCGTGCCAATGCGGTATCTCGAAAATAAGTCCGTCGCGTCCGATATCGTAAAGCACGCGAGCGAGCGAATTATCGATATCTTCAAATATTGTCGCAGATGAGCTTTGATTTTTTCTTGATGGGAGATACATCTGTTTTAAAGTTCGACTTATTAGCATCTACGTGACAAAAATTAAGACAATATAGTGGTGTGAAACGTGTATTTACAATCGGTACTTTATATGAACGTGTTTTAGTGAGAGTTTCTTTCGCGTTTCGAATAAAAATTGCTCCGACGCTCATCGTGTAGTCACTGAATATCGATTTCAATTGTCATTGTTCTTAATACCGATATCAAAAATTCAGGGTGGCGTTGGTATTCCTGGATGCATCTGGCTCGAGCGAGTCGATGCCCTGCTCCACTTTTTCGAAGTGTAGCCCGGGCCCAGGGCTGCCTTAACAATTGCGCAAAATGAGCACCCTTGGTGACCTTCGTTCGATTTAGTTTTATTTTATTGAGATACAAATACATTTTTATTACTTGTTAGAATTTATATTTATTTACGTCTAAGATGTACTTTAGTCTGGCGATAGAAGATATATAACTATTTTGTGGCATATTGCTACTTTGTGGTCTATTTAATCTCAAAGCGGTTTAATCTGGGCACCTGGGCAAAATTTCTCCGCGATTTCGGGGATTTTATTGACTATACTTTCTCTACTATCACGTCGTTTCACCTCGAGCTATAAATTGGACGAACACGGGTCCTACCTTCGCCGCATCAAATCTTAATGTGACGTTTTATCGTGAAAAGGTAGCAAAGTTACGTGTCTTATCGGTGGGAAATCTTGATGTTGTGATATTATTTCAACATAACTCGTTTCGACTTGTTCATTGACATTCATCCGATTTCTCGGCGTCTCGTGAAAGATATTACGAGTGATACGACGTGTTACATTGCGCAAGTATAAAGGGAATTATGCAAAGAATGCAAATAAGAATATTAATTGCGAAAGAATCACGGCCCGTTTAAATGTCAAGAACATTGTAGTACGCGTATTTCTCTCCTTCCATTACTAATTCGCATCGCGTGTCGCGCAAAAACTCCTCGCTAGTGGTGTTCACTTTGTTTACGATGTTTGGTATGTGAGGGGAACGCACAGGTGGTCACTGTTTTTACGATGTTGGGTAGTCGCAAGGTCAAGTCGCACATGCGAAACAGTCATCATTTCTATTATAGCACTTGAATTACATACGGAACGAGCGTCGATTATGCAGAGAAAGAACATTAAATTGTAAGTTTGGCCAATTGTTGCTTCGAAACAGGGCTTTTCGAGTAAATAAGCCACAAGTCGTCGTGTGAGCGCGATATAATTTATCGAGTGAACGAATTTTGTCATATCGTTTCTTGAAAATTACGCCGGATTTTTAACATTTAACGCGGGTGTTACGCAAACTCCCACACGTTGTGGGCTGTTCTCCGTTCAATGGACATTTTTATCGCGCCCAACCCACTATATTAGGAACGTCAATGATGCAAAAAAATTCCGCTTTTACGGTGTGTCCCGAACAATAGCGGTACGGCGAAATCGCTATGCCGACGACGTAACGGCAGATTGCAGCGGACGGCTGGCGTTTTTACCGCGATTTTATATTGTTGCGGAAACACTCAGCAAATTACGTCTGCCTTTTGCTTATGATTTTTTTCCGCGGGTGTCTTATGTAACGCGATTGACTCTCGGCATGTATGAGGGCTCGAAAACCGGAAATGACCCATTAAAAGCGTACCTTTTTAAAGCTGTTCCGAGAAGAATGTCCGAACTTTCTATTCCCCCGCACTTTTTTCGTAAAGTTAGAACATTGTATAATTGTCTATTCAAAATATTTCATAGCTCTAACGCGTATTTATGTCTAACGTTTTTATTGACGCATTCCTCATGCAACAAATATTATCCCTGGCACGTTGACACTTTTATTTGTGCGTTCACGTCGATAAAGGCGATTTGAAAACAAATTCAAATTTACAGCTGTTCGCTTGCGTTTTCATAAAACTAATTGAATGATAAATCGCGTGTAAAGTGCGACTGGAACTCGTAGACGTGATGTAATACGAGATGAACGAAATCTCGTACACGCAACGTTGCGTAAGTCGAGTTCAGGAAGTGACCCGAGAAATGAATACGCATAATCGGTATGTGCGAAAGGAAAATTTACGACATCGACTGCGGTAAAGGGAGCCGTCGCGACATGTGCGGCGGAACACATAATTTTTTTTGTCTCTCACGATCGTTGCACTTGGCATGTAACACGCGCGTGCGCTCATATAAACGGAACATTAAATATCATACAAGCTGTTTCAGCCTGAGCGATCTTATTCGGATGCTTTGATACAAGCGTGTTGAAAGGAGCCATCGAATTTGTTTTCCAGATTCAGTTGGCGCGCGTGTTACGTGTCTAGGCAAGAAGTCGTTACGTAAAGCAAGATTGCCCGATATCCCTTTCGCGATAATTCAGAAGGAAGTAATTCTTTCTTCTTTGTGTCTTTTCTCGCGGTCATAAACCTTTTTGCATTCGTTTTCTCCTAGAAACGCGCGCTTGAATTCCAGATCAATTAGGAATGTCTCTAGAAGGCTTCATAAATAACAATAACGACTCTTAACATAGTTAACCCTTTTAGTGCCGGGAGCCGATATATCGGCTCCTGCTACACCGGCGAGAAGTGCCAGAGCCGATATATCGGCCCGCACCTTGTAGCGCTTTACTATTCGCATTGCGAGAGATCTCTATCAAAATAAATTTAAAATACGTTATAAATAGTCTAATTTCATTACGAGAGAATTAAAATAAATAATTTTTAAATATTGCTTTTCGTTTGGTTTTTATGAGCCTTTTACCAAATCCTAGTAAAATCGGCCGGTTATCTTCGCATAAGCACCTCTTTTTCGCCCGGTACTAAAAGGGTTAACCATGTAACAAATCTCGTACAGCATGTACGACAAGTACAACTTGTACGACAAGTATCGAGAATCCAAAGCACCTCACCGACGCTAATTTAAGCAAATAGTTCGATTGGTTGCGTTCGGCACCTCCTTCGTCTAGATACAAGTTTATCGAAGATGAGTTACGTAACATTCATATCCAATTAATAAAACCATTTCGTTCTACTGATTACATAAGTTAGGTTTGTTTGTAAAACAGATACGAGGAACTGTTTATTTTATCGCTGTTAAACTTGATTAGCCGACTTATTATTTTCTTCTTTACGTTAACACACATTATCCCGCTTATTAAATTTAATTGATAATATTTATTCTCGATAAGGCGAGCTTTAAGTTATCAGAAGAACGGAGTAAAAATAGAAGATAAATCGCGAGCTATTCCCGCCGACAATCGGAAATATTTAAAAACGAAGTGCGAAATAGCGTCGCGAAAGGAAGCTTATCATCGTCGCTGTTTTTCGCATTTGATCGACACGCGTGTGCTACGTAGAGCCTGAGGAAGATAAGGCAATCAAGCATGTAACGAGTCGCACATGTCGCGTGCTCATCACGCGAACGGTATTATGGGGCTACCGCAACTGTGCCGCGTTTGCGAATAGGGGAACGCGGAACAAAGCGCTCGTTGCTTCGAATATACTCGCCAGGAGCGGATTAAGGCAAAAAGGAATTTGGCAAGGAGCCATAATTTGTCGCGGCTCTTTCCGGCTTTCAGCGCTGGGCCATCTCGCGGCGACAAAATTCCAAAATTGAATTCCTGTTGAAGCGAACTTCACCGGCTATCCTCTCTGTAGCACAAACTTACAAAATTTATCGCGTAGACGTGTACGCAGATGACTCACGCGAACCGGGCGAACATACACGCACTCGCGTGCCTTCTCATAAATCTGGCATAGCCAAAAATAAGACGAAGCGGCATTCATTCGATGCCGGAGGGCATCGAAATATCCTTGGACGATGCGGCCCTGACACTCTCTCTCTCCAGTTGCCTCTTGTGTCGTCATAAACGGGACTTAGTTCTCTCGGAAGTTCCTTTATGCGACGTCGAACGCGAGCAACAATGGTGATCGCGATGAATTAATGCCTTTTTACTGCTACTTATTGCATTATCGGCAGTCGCTTTGATATCACCCGTTGCTGCTTCGCCGATCTCAATCGTTCTGATTACAGCCTGTGTAAATTGCACTGTCGGGAACAATAGCAATAATACCGCGGCGGTTTCGAGCAGCGCTCGCTTAAATATCTGATTTGTAATCGCGACCGTCATCTTAATCTAATCAAAATGCGAATCCTTCCTTATTATTTTCAAGAGCAGAACTTTATCGTAATGATTTTTGTTTAACGTGGAAGCGAGAGAAGTTGTAAATATTTAGATAAAAGATATCTAAATCCGATCGTATTTATGGACAAGAATTTTATACTTTAGTTCAGATGTAGAATCCAATTTAGTTCAAGCTTAGATATACTCGCTTACGGTTAGTCCGCTCGTTTTCAGAGTGCACTTCGTAGGTATTTCGTTTGCTGATTTGCTGCTTTAATTTATAGTAACGCCTGTTTCGTGACGCGAACGTCCACGGTTAATACGAGCGTGCGGTCAAAGCATGAATCATTCCTCACCCCTGCTTATTTTGTGGCCGAGCAGATGGTGACAGATGTATCCAGTCATTCTCCGTATATCAGCAGTTGACCGATCTGCGTCGCGATCGCGAATCAGTAAATATTAGCGGGATGTGGAGACGCGAGCTGCTCGTACGTCCAATTTCCACACGTTCCCCCTCGGTTTTCCAACCGGGGATATTCTCCCCTCGTTGCGACCCTCGGCTTTTCCGACACTACCCTCCAGAGACAATGCGTTCATAAAAATGCCAAATCGAACGTTTGGCCTCTCTTTGCTTCCGCCTCTCGATAACGACGATGCTCGTGCGCGACAAAAGCTCCGAGTGTTCACGAGCACTCGTGAGGTTTTTAATAGGA